CATGCCAAAGCATGAGTTGGCATTTGATATATGTAATGAGTTTTTTTTTTTGTACATGTTTAGATAACCTTTATTGTAGGCTTTGATCTTACACCAGGCCTAAGCCATAAAACTACTAAGATAATCATCACCAGAGCTGGACATATGACATCGTAAAAGGTATTGATGCATATGCTCTGACTTTGGGTTCTTTAAAGGACAACATAATTTAAGAAAATATGGAGTGAACAATAAACTGCCAGGCCAAATCTCTCTGATCCACCCATGGGTCTGCCCACTCAGAAACAACTAATTTTAAGGTATATAATGAGGATGTTGGACTATCCAGAGAGATTTTCTTTTTAACAACTGCTTGGAGAACTTTAACATCTGAATCTCCCACAATAATTATATATAAGCGGTAAATATATGTAAGGATCTCTTGTGTTTTCTCCTATTTTATGGACTGTTTTGCAATTTGTTATCTGTGTTTCGGTATGTCATTTATTTCTGTATTTTGTACTCAGCACTGTGAATCCTATTTGTCAGATTAAATGTTTACTTAATCAGCTTGTGTCTCTATTCTCTACCAAAAGGGTTGATTATATATGTCTGATCAGTAAAGTAAGGTTGTGATACTATAATTTGACTGTGTGTGGGGTAACCTAAGACGGCGGGTATAAAAGTGTGTACTAGGGTGTTAGTGTAGAAGGGATTGCAGGGGTTAATTTAGTGGTTGCTGGGACTAGCAACAGGTAACCAGGGATCTGTTGTCATTAACCCTTTCACTTCCACACACTCCGCACTGTCTCGGCTGGGTCAATAGCCCACGTTCATGACAGGGACATCAACAATACAGTCATTGGGAACTGTCAGTTTAATTTCTACAAAGAGTATAAAGAATCTTCCGTTCAGCGATCAGTCCTCACCTGACACAGGTGCCCTGCAGGAGTACTTGAAAAGCAGAAACAAAACCTTGCATTCCTCCCCGGGAGACTGACAGGGGTAAGAGATTGTCAGGAAGATAATCTCTGCTCCTACTGAAGATATGCAGGGACACTTAAAGCTGATGTGTCACTTTTAGTTTTTGTTTTTTTTTAACATAGGCATGTTTTACATCACTTACTCGACCTATTATCTTTTTTTTTTTTTTTTTAATTATGAATGTTTTCCAAGTTATACCTAAGAAAAGTAGAGACTAATCTTCCTTATTTTATAACCTAATGGTTGACAAACGTTGACAAATAGTGGAGTTTTAGTCAAACTCCACGGCATTGGTCGACTTGGTCATTGGCCACTTACTTCTGTACTCACCTCACCTTCCTGAAGCGTTGTGTCACTAAAACACAATCAAAGCTGAGGTCAATGGAACCTCCTGAATCCTCTAATAATGTGCATGATTTCATTCTTAACACCAGAAAATATTTCTGCGTGCGTAACTTTCCAAATCTTTAAGATGATGGAGCTGAGAAAGAATCCCCAGTGGTACCAGAAAAAGTTTAAAAAGCAGTCCTTTGAATTGAGCCAGGAGAGTTAGGGAAGGAGTTCAGGGATTAAGTAAGAGATCACTTAGCTTTATAGTAACAGAGCCACTTTAAAATGTTATCACCACATTAACTACAACCAATTGTAAAGTTATCTTGCTTGGAATGCACTTTTAAGGAATAGGCTGCTTCAATAATTATTTATCGTCTGTAAAAACTCCAAAGTGACAGGATGCCTTTAAAAGGTACATCCCCGTATTGGATTTAGAAGGGAAGTCACACATTCACTCTGGGGTCTTCAGCAGCTCTTCCTCATTCACGCACTAAAAAGAGTGACTGCCTGACAAGTTAAAAGAGCCATCAACTTTTTTTATCTTTCATGAAAACTTATGGATTGGTCGAAATATATTTTACCAAAAGGAAAAATAAAAAAAATAAAATTGATTTATGGGACTTTCACATTCAAACTGTAAAGATTATAATACAAACTAGAATTAAGCAGGGTTTGGAATTAACCTAATTATACATGATGTATGCGCTCTGTTCTATAACCCATGCCCAAGCCGGGTATCTAACTGAGATTTTACCAACTGGAACAAATAAAGCAGGGCTCTCAAGCTTGTTTTCTACAAAAGGCTGAATTGGATACGAAAGTACAAAAAATGTAGGGCTGAATGTAACAAGAAAGTTATATCATACACACACCTAGCTCTTTCTCTAATTAGCTGCATTGTACTAGCGTTTAGTAACATTAAAACAGATATGGGGTGTTGTACAAGAGTAAACTCACAGGGATGCGCAGTGATTATATCTCAGAGTTCCAAAGCAATAAAGAATTACTTTAATGTGTAGGAGATTAATTTATGAGCTAGAGCCCTTAAAACTCATGATTATAAGAGGTGTGTATGTATATAAATCTTCATATGTAAAAAGACACGGTAATGTGTCCCATACAAGTGCTGAGACAAACAACAATTAATCAGTTCACAGAGCTCCGTAACAATACAATACACAGTTCACAATTTACATATTGTCAAAGAACTCGACAGCAATAACTCTCTCCGTAATGTTGTGTTTCACAAGGCTTCACAGCAATAAAACTCACAGTAATGTGAGGAGTCACTGAGGCTCATTCCTGCAGCAAGAGGGGATCCTACCTGTTTTCTTAGTAAAGAAAATGAGAGGGCATCACATTAACTTACTCAGGTTGTCCTGTTATTGACCCTTTATGTTGCACAAGGCCATACACCACACAGACACAAAAAATACAGAGCAACATGAGGAAACAAACAGCAAGGAGAAGTGAGTGGGGGAATTATCTGTTCTCCTGCTCACTGACAAAGGGACTGGCAAACAGCGTAACCATTTTGTTCTCTCTAACAACACTGGAATGTCAATACTGCACTAGGCTCACAGCACAGACAGACATTACATGGGAGCCAGGACAAAGTAGTGATAGTGTAAGAATTCTAAATGTCTGCCAGGGTGTACCCAGCCAATATGCCATCTGCTTGACACCAATAGTAAGAGACATAATATTTAGGTTTAACAAGATGTATATTTCCTTTTCAGTCAGTTTTATTGATTATATCTTAATGCATTTGTGTTGTATAATACAATTTTTATTATTATTACTATTATTGCCATTTATATAGCGCCAACAGATTGCGTAGCGCTTTACAATATTATGAGAAGGGGGGATGTAACTATAAATAGGACAATTACAAGAAAACTTCCAGGAACGATAGGTTGAAGCAGGTGGGTGTAAAACACATCAGGACAGGAATTTTCAATCAAATAAGGTGGGAGTGAGGTAGAGCAGGAGGAGAGAGTAGAGTGCTGTCCTAGGAGAGAGCAAGAGACAGGGATGTAAGGTACAGGTTTCTCTACCTTACATAATGTATCAATGCTCATTCTATTCCAATAGAGAAGTTTAAAGAAAATTGTGAACTAGCACATGGCATCCTCCAAATAAGTTAAGAATGTATATTTGTCATTTATGACACTGCTTCTAATAAGATGTATTAATAACAATGACCAATTTGCAAAATAATGATCAGAGTGAATTATAATCGAAAATACATAGATTTAAAAAAAAAAACATGGCCATATCCCTCATTTCTACAACTATCCACAATTGTAAAATAAAGCCAAAATAATTAAACAACACCCTCTCCCTCTGTTCCTGTGCGTTCAACCCATCTTGTTACAAATACACGTCTGTTAGTTTATGTATTGTACAGCGCTACGGAATTTGTTGGGCTTTATAAATCATAATAATTACAACAAGAACAATAAACTATGAAACACTGCCTGTGTCTTAGCGATGCATAGCCAATAAAACACTGGCAGTCCCTTAAATTCAAAGACTAATTATTGCTGCAGAATAACTTTTGCCATATTGCTTAAATAGAACTGTGACATCTGAAATGTTAAACACAACCAGATAGACAAAAATAAATGTTAGTTAGCGGGTGTTTGTGCTAAAATTTACAGGGTTTTCTACTTTGTTTTAAATAATTAAATAATTTTATTTTAATTTGGATGCTTTGGCAGGCAACACCAGGCAGAGCTTGCACAGAATTCATTATTGTAGGACTGTATACAAGGTACACGCATGTATGGCACTGCCAAAAAAAAGCATGTATATAACTACTACCACTGCTTTATTCACTCCAAAGGAACACTGTAGGCACCCAGACCACTTAAGCTCATTGAAGTTGTTTGGGTGCTGTGTCCCTTTTGCCCTTAAAGCTGCAATGTCAAAGAGCATGACAGGGAGATCTCCCACTATTGCTGGTTCCCAGCATTCTGTATCTGCGGATTATACTATGATTGGTGCTGGATTGACGTAGATGCAGTGAGACATAGTAAGGGTCTCATCAGTTGCGTGAGGAAGCAGGCTCAGAATCACGCAACTGAGCGCAATTTGGCTCAGCACAATGCTTTAAAGGCCTGAATGCAGCACTTACTTTGAGTGCTGCCTACTGCTCTTCTGTCAGTGTGGGGCTAAATATGGCCCAGCTAACAGAGGGACGCCCCAATATCAACTAAAACCTGTGTCTCCTAGGTGTGAGCAGGGAATTAACCAGACTTTCAAATAGGATTTAAATGCCCATTTAAAAACCTGCATGCAGCGCTCACTTTGAAGCTGCATACAGCTCATCTGTCAGTCAGGAACAACTGAATATGGCCCCAGAAATCTAAACATGGCCCTATCTGACAGTATCAATTGACACCTGGATCTCCCACCAAAACGTTAGGACATTCCATGCCATCTTAATAGTGCTAAAACCAACTCTGTGGAGGAAGGCATAGTGTCCTTACATTATTAAGGGGTTGATTTAGAATTTCACATTTTCTAAAGTAAACACACTCGCCATTTGTTTCATGTAAGCTGTGTGAGTCACAGCCAGGAGACGTGGTGATAGCAGCATAGGCAGAAATGAAAGTGATTTAACTTCTATGTGCCAGACAATTGAGCAGTTTAAGCAATGGACACGATCTAAACACTAAAACTGCTTCAATAAAGCGGCACTGTAACGCCGAACTTACATTTCTCCTATTGTTTCCACTTCTCTTCCTATCTCAGAATCTGTTCTTCTTTTCTTTATTTCTGATCAAGTTTTCTTTAAAACATAAGACAAAGTAGGGACTAGGAAAAGTAGATCAGAAATAAAGAAGAGAAGAACAGATGCTGAGAGAGGAAGAGAAGTGGAAACAATAGGACAAACGTAAGTTTGGCGTGACCGCCTTTTTAATGCTAGAGTTGTTTTGGTGCTTATAGTGTCCTCTTGTTTTCACAATGCTATTTAGGATCCAAAACCATACAGATTAGCAATAACAGATTTAATTTATAAAGTGTTCACTTGCTTCGGAATTAAACAAAACATCAAATCTCTAAAATATTACTAGATGAGACCTGGCGGTTGAGGGAATTTGCTGTTCTGTCCCCTTCTTTATATTAAAGAAAAAGAGAAGTCCTAAATTCAAATGGACAATTCGCCTATTACTTTAATTATTCAGCTTCAGGCTGTGCTGTGTCCCCATACAGAATATACTCTGGTCAAGACCAATCACATTGATCTGACTTCTTAATTCTTACTTGAAAATATAAAGATTTTGAACGAGAACAAGCCATTTTGTCTCATAAGTGTGAAAACACATCATTTTTTTTATAGCTGTAAAATAGTGATCTAATGTCTGACATGTTGGGATTCACTTGGTATAAAATGAACACCACACCTAATATTACATGCTAGAGGCGCTTCCTGGCATTTCACATGCATGAGGATGTCCAGCGTCTTCTAAAGAACTGTTTTATTGGTACAGACACGGAATATTTATACAATTCATAATTATACAGATAATGCATTACAAACATTTGACAAAATATTTCAGTAAAAATATACACACCGTCAAGGTTCCTGCAGCTGCACATGTGAAATAGGAAAATTAGCTATTAGCTATATAGGTGATTTTAGTCTGGCTCTGGAAAACCAAAAAGGTAGATGCAACAGCATCTCAAAAGGAAGTTTTAAAACATCTGAAGAACTACCATTTGTGTGACCCTGGTTTAAATTTTGCATGCTGCACGTCAACTCACCACAACTTAAATGGACACTCCACTGCTACAATTGGCAAAATAAAATCACTGTTTTATAGATATCCCCAAATGAATGCATGCATGCATGTATTCATATTCATTGAGGGTATATCTTAAAAGAGCTTATAAAGTCAACAGTTCTTATCAACTGCAGTCTTAGCAAGCCCTCCCCTTTTTTCATCCAGAAGTCTCTTCATGGGTAAATAAACAATCACAGGCTTGTCATTGAGAAGCCTCTGAATTGGTGTCCTTGAGCATGCGCATGCTGGCTCATGTGCTTGCGCATGTCTGGTCTGAGGTCTGGAAAAGCTGATCTATAAATGTGTGAGAGAGAAGGCAGGCTTGCTCAAGTACAGTGCGCCTGCCACCTCAGCTAGCTCAAGGGAGCTCACGGAAGAAGGCAGTAAATCTACCTGGCTGTCTGATTGACTATGAAAGACTATGAATATCTATATTATTTACTTGAAATGTTTAATCACGCAGCTAAAATAGTTCAGAATATAGGCCAATAGAGGAACGCAGCTTTATATAATTAGAAAATACTTTATTTCACATAGATTAAATACTTACATGGTAGATTATGTAAATTATGTCATTGACATGATGTCATTTACATTGTGCTTACATTCTAGTAGTATGTCTGATGTAAAATATACTATGTGTACATCAATATTGCATGATTAAACCCCTCGTGCAGGGCTTGACAAATTTGTTTGGAATCTAGGAACCAGCTAAAAAAGTTAGGAGCCAGTCTTTTTTAAACTAACAAAGTTTAATTTTGAACAAGAAAAATGAAATTCTTAAAGGGACACTATAGTCACCAGAACCATTGCAGCTTAATGTAGTTGTTCTGGTGTCTGTAGCACGTCACTGCAGGCTTTTCAGATAAAATGCAGTTTTTACATTGCTGCCTTGGGACACCTTTAGTGGCAGTCACTCAGACGGCCACTAGAGGTGATTCCTAGACGCTAAACCAAAGTTCCGCTACTACACACTCTGCATGGAGGCGTTGAATGTTCCCCATTAAGATGCATTGATTCACAGTATCTCTATGAGGAGATCCTGATTGGCGCTGCACAGTCTTTTGAGGCACATGCGCAATATACTACTAAAGCTTTTCTATGGGAAAGCATTGACTTAGCTGAGATCATAAAGACTGATGATCTCAGCCATGGTGGCGGGACCAGCCGTGGTGATTCCAGCACGACATCTGAAAAAAAGGTGAGTAAAAATACCTTTCCCATGCAATCAGAGGGGGGCAGGTAACTAGGCAGACACACTCAGTGACTGACTGACAGACACACAGAGACACAGACAAACACACACACAGACAAACACACAGAGACACAGACAGACACACATAGAGACAGACACACACAGAGACAGACACACACAGAGACAGACACACAGAGACAGACACACAGAGACAGACACACAGAGACAGACACACATTTTCTCATGAACTCATGAAATTTTCCCATTTTCATTTATGTCCACCCAGCCTCCCTGCCTTTGGGAGAGCTGAGTGTATCTTTCCCTGGGAACCAGTGGGGCTGCTCACTAATCTTCCTGCAGCTCCGCTCCGCTCTCTGCAGTGATGCCGAGGCCAGAGTGTCGTCATATTATGGCTCCCGGGATCACGCAAGGGATGAGAGATGAGCTGCTGGAGGTTTACTGCTCCCTCCTGCACTGCCTCCCACGCTACCTCTGGCCAGCAGCCGGCTCCCTTTCTGCCCCGTGCGGTTGGCCTTCCGGCTCCCATGCTGACCTGTGCAGGCTGGCGGCCTTCGCTAAAGGGCCTCCAAGGCAAAATCCCATGCGCCAGGACATAATTTCTAGACGCCATGGCGACCTGGGATTTGTCAAGCCCTGCCTTAGTGACAAGGACTACATTTCCATCTTAAAGACAAGAGTAAGTTTAGTATTTTTACCTTGGATGTACATTATAAACAAGGATTTCATTTATTTTTTAAAGTTACAAAGACTTATTAAACTAACACAAATGACCGAAATAAACACATATCTGTCAGAAATAATATTCGGTCCCCTGTTCGGTTATGTTTTCTCTTGTAATAGAATCCAGCACTTAGAAGAGAATATAGTCTTCTTGGAAATCTACCATTGGTAGCACTCAAAACAAGACATTCAGACAGAAATATTTTTATATAAAATATATATTAAAACAACTGCTTTATTAAAGGGATACTATATCCATTTCACTTTATTAAATTGGTTTTAATGCCTGGATTTCACTAGGCTCCTTTTTTCCCCCATAGTTAGAACTCAACTTTAACAGTAAATACAAAATATTCTAGGAAAAAGTTAGCATACCCTGTTTCCCCCAAAATAAGACCTACCCCGAAAATAAGCCCTAGCTGGATTATCGGGGTGGGCTGCAATATAAGCCCTACCCCGAAAATAAGACCTAGGCAGGGCCGGCGGCTGACGGCCCTTTAAATGCCACAGCCACTGAGTGCTCCATAGAGAGCGCCTAAGACGGCGCCGCACTGCCTCACCTCCCCTTCCCTCAAGGAGTTTCCGTCAGACCCGCTCGATCGACAGGAAGTGCACACTGGGTGTGCATTCCGTCAGTCCCACGCACGCGACCGGAAAGGAGCCCGCCAGCGCCATGAGGTGCAGAAGATTCTATGGGGATAATATACAGGGAGGAGGGGGATAATATTACTGGGGAGGAGTGGGGGATAACATTGAAGGGGGAGGGGGATACCATTACAGGGAGGGAGGGGGATAATATTACTGGGAGGGAGAGTATTACTCTTCGGGTGGAGGGGGAGAGTATTACAGGAGGGAGGGGAGGATAATATCACTGGAGGGAGGGAGGATAATATTACTGGGAGGTGGGAGGGGAGGATACTGGCTACTGGGAGGGAGGGGGGGATAATATTACTGGGAGGAGGGGGATAATAATACTGGGAGGGAGGGGGGGAGTATTACAGGGAGTGGGAGGGGAGAGTATTACAGGGGAGGGAGGGGGGAGAGCATTACAGGGAGGGAGGGGGGGATAATATTACTGGGAGGGGGTAAAAATATTACAGGGAGGGAGTGAGAATATTACAGGAGGGAAGGGGGATAATATTACAGGGGGGTAATATTACTGTGAGGGAGGGGGGGAGAGTATTACAGGGAGGGAGTGGAGAATATTGACAGGGGAGGGAGGGGGGATGTAATATTACTGGGAGGGAGGGGGGAGAGTATTACAGGGAGGGGGGAATAATACAGTGGGAGGAGGGGGGACAATATTACAGGTAATATTATCAGAGGGAGGGGAGAGTATTACTGGGAGGGAGGGGGAGAGTATTACAGGGAGGGAGTGGAGAATATTACAGGGAGGGAGGGGGAGATAATATTACAGGGAGGGAGGGGGGAGATAATATTACAGGGAGGGAGGGGGGAGATAATATTACAGGGAGGGGGGAGATAATATTACAGGGAGGGAGGGAGGGGGGATAATATTACAGGGAGGGAGGGGAGAATATTACAGGGAGGGGGAGGTGAGGGTCTCTAGGGGGGTTACACAGCGCGGACACCGGCTGACAGACTGGCTCTAAGCCCTACCCTGAAAATAAGCCCTAGTGTGTTTTTTGTGACTAAAATTAATATAAGACCCGGTCTTATTTTCGGAGAAACACGGTAGTATCTAGAATCTATATATTATGCAACATTAGAATCAATCATAACAATCTATTAATTACCACAATAAATTGTATCTCCAAAGCCAACTTATTTATAAAAGTAATTACTTTTGCAGTTCAGAAAGACAACTGCAGGAAACGATTTTATGCCAGATATTAATAAATTACCCTTGGAAATTTACTTGGATGAAAAGTATTTTTCTCATCTGAGCTGCAACCCATATCCACACTGTGCATTTCTAGTGTAATCAAGTTTCTTTCCCTAATACCTGTCATAGGAATTTTGAATCTTTCATGTTACCATTTTATCAGTATTCCCCGCCAATAACTTTGTAGTGAAAGCTAAAGAAGACATAGACACAAACCAATATCTTGTGTTGGAAGTCTGGTGCATTGGCCATTTGGCTTTTATCTACCATCAAAATCCATTTGTCTATGTTGAGAACCAACAAAAAATAATAACAAGTAAAGATAGCCAAGTATAGTGCAAAAAC